AGAATCAGAATACCAACTACTCATTACCTCCTAGTGCCACTGCGCTCTAGCCTGGGCAACAGAGCAAGACTCCATCTCAAAAAAAAAAAAAAAAAAGAGTAGTTGTGTTACCTGTCCTGATTGTGACTATACTAGCTAAGCTTTGTCGAGCAGTTACTCTGTGCCAGAGAACCCCTGCAGTGTTTCCATGCAAGTGTGCTCCTTTGATCCTACAGCAACACTATAAGGAATGCTTTGTTATCTAACTACCCACATTTTATAGATGAGAAAACTGAGTCACTTAGCAGGTACTCAAGAAAGGTTAGCTTATTGTGGCTGGGCATGGTGGCTCAGACCTGTAATCCCAGCACTTTGGGAGGCCAAGGTGAGAGGATCGCTTGAGCCTGTGAGTGGGAGGTTGCAGTGAGCTGATTGCACCACTGTACACCAGTCTGAGTGGCAAAGTGAGACCCTGTCTCGAAAGAATGAAAGAGAGAGAAAGAGAAGAGGAGGGGAGGGGAGGGAGGAAGGAAGGAAGGAAAGAAGGGAGGGAAGAAGAAAGGAAGGAAAGGAAACAGAAAGAACGAGAGAGAAAGAAAAAGCCCTCCAGTCTGGGTGACAAAGTAAGACCCTCTCTCCAAAGAAAGAAAGAAAGAAAGAAAGGAAGGAAGGAAGGAGAGAGAAAGAAAGAGAAGGAAAGAGAGAGAGAGAGAGAAAGCCCTGCAGTCTGGAGACAAAGTGAGACCCTGTCTCGAAGAAAAGGAAAAAAAGGAAGAGAAGAAAGAGAGAGAGGGGGAGAGAAAGAAATTAAGAAAGGGAGAGAGAAAGATGTTAGCTTATTGTTATTATTAACTACAGCATGTAACTGAGACTCATTCATTGAATTGTGTTCAGTGTATCCAATGGGCTCACTGGACAATCATTACGAAGGTCACCTGGTAGCCCTCTCAGAAGCTCTAGGCAGGACACTCGGCAGATTTCTGCCTTCCAAGGGGGCATCTCACTTACATTCCCAGGGAGGCCACACCTGCATGGATGGCTATTTCTTGCTTTTTGTCTCTCCCTGACTACTATACCTTTTCCTCATTCCATGAATTTCAAATCTACCCTCATCATTCTGTGGCCATAGCCCCAAGCCTTTGGATGTCTATACACATGCTATAAGAAATATGTATATGGCTTTATATTATTACAAATTGTCTGTAATTTTTGTGTCTTACAAAGTATGGCTTTCTATATGTTTACATCTTTGTTATATACATGTTATTCATATATGTGTATATACATATACCAATCTTGTCTCTCAAACCAGTTTCTGAATTGTTAAGACCTAGAACCATGCTTTATGCTTCTTGGTAATCTTCAGTAGCACCAATGACAGTTTGAAGCAATAGTTATAAGCTTAGAAAATGCCTATTTTTGACCTATTAAAGCAATAGCCTGATTCCTCCACTTTGCAGCAAAACAGCTTCTGAGCACACAGTTTAAGGGCGCTACTCACTCCCGTCATCTTACTGAATGGGTTCTCCCTGCCTCCTGGCTCCTACAGTCAGTCCTCAAGAGGTTCTGGTTAGAACACTTCCCATTATTCTCTGAGCCACCGCAAACCTGTTTTACCACTTTGTCACCCTGTAGCAGCATTGAAAACTCTTGTTGTTTGGTAAGCTGATGCTGAAACCCCAAAGACAAGCCTCCTTTCTTCCCCTCTCCGTCTGCCCCATGTTTGATATCAGGCCCAGATAAGACTCCATGGCAGCTCCAGCCGCCCACACTCCTTAGCCGGAAGCCGGGCTCTGCGTCCAGTGTGGAGGAAGATGCCTCCTTTAATGTACACCTTGGCAGAGAGAGTCAGGAATGTAGTCTTGAGAGGCAGGTGGTCAGGGTTCAAATCCCAGTTCCCTGGGTCCTTGGAAAAGTGACTTAACCCCTGTGAGCTTTGAGTTCATTTGAAAAACTAGGGGTTGTAAAGATTGAATTGGAAAATCCGTGTCAAGAGTGTGGTAGTGTCTGGCATGAGGGAAGAGCTCCTTGAGAGTGGGCTGGGGTGGTGACCTCTAGCTGGTTGCCTGCTTGTATTGGGAAGGCAACTCGGATGAACTCTACGTCTGCCCTGGGCTAGACGGTGTGCCGGGGAAGCACTTCACACCAGCCACCTCATTTCATTCTCTTCACCCCCTTTTAAGAGAAGTTTCTGTCCTGCCATATATTACAGATGAGGGCACTGGCGGGGTTGAAAACATGCCCAGAGCCACCCAGCTTGCAGGTGTCAGGGCTAGGGCTGAAACCCAGGACTACTGGATTTTGAAGTTCATGTCTCAATACCTCTCTTCCCAGCATCATCCCAGATAACTCCCTCCTCATTCCCAGAAAATGTAAGGCCTCTTTTTCAGAGTCTAACAGATGCTATCCAGTCACTTCTACTTCTGTGCCTACTCTTATGGCAGAACATGGGGAAAGGTACAACTTATCCTTAAGGAATTTCCAGGATAACTTTAACCACATGTAACTTCCCCTTTTAGAAAATTTCTCTTTAGCAGCCAAAAGCTCTGTTGTTTCTTTCTTTTTAGACGGAGTCTCACTCTGTCACCCAGGCTGGAGTGCAGGGGCACGATCTCGGTTCACTGCAACCTCCACCTCCCAGGTCCAAGCGATTATCCTGCCTCAGCCTCCTGACTAGCTGGGACTACAGGCACATGCCACTATGCCTGGCTAATTTTTTATATTTTTAGTGGAGATGGGGTTTCACCATGTTAACCAGGATGGTCTCAATCTCCTGACCTGGTGATCTGCCCACCTAGGCTTCCCGAAGTGCTGGGATTACAGGCGTAAGCCACCATGCCCGGCCAGCTCTGTTGTTTTTTAAGAGCAGCTATGTCACCTGTCATGATTGTGATGATACCAGTTAAGCTTCCTTGGGCAGTTGAATTACTCTGGGCCACGAATCCATATTGGTTCAATTCATAGTCAGCAACCTGTTTAAAAAAGAGAGAAGGGAAAAGGTTGATGAGGATTAAAAGTTGCCTCTTGGAGGAGGTTGCAAAGAAAAATCAAGATGAAAGCTTGGGACTTTGACTTGCCAGCTCCCTTTCTAATAGGGAAGAGTGGAGACCAGGCATCTCCCCCTATGGGAGGAGGGCAGTGCAGCGCCTCGCCCTGCCGTGCCCAGGTAGGAGGTGTCTGGACAGGACCAGGAGTCGGCTGCTGTCAGCCTTTGCCCCACCTCTCTGTGGCTACCGGGTGTGTGAATCTCTAAAGGCCTGAAGAGAAGACAGCTGAGGGATTTGGAACTCCTAAAACACATGCATCCCCACATACACACACACACACACACACACACACACACTTTTCTTTCCCTTAAAAAAAAAAAAAAGATTCATTCACCGAGTGTATAATGGTGACCCTTTGTTCTCTCCCCACCCCCTCCCCACCCAGCTTCGTCCCAAGAGTGTTCCCTCTCAGAGCTGCTCTCTGGAGCCAAATTCCAGGGGCCAGGTTGCTAAGGCCCTTGAAGAAATCAGGTAGAGGCTGACGGAAGCCCAGCAGACAAACCGCTTCTGTCTCATCCTGCCAGGGATTCGAAGCCATTCTCGCCCTGTTGACAGAGGACAGCTGGGCACAGCCCCCTCCCCAGAGTCCCCAGCCCTCGGACATGCTCCAACAAACAGTGTCTCCCTGCACCTCCTATGCCCATCTGCAGCAGGGCCACTGCCTGTCCCGGTCACTGGCTCTGGGGAGCCTCCTTGCCATGGAGCATCTTCTAAGCTCCCTCAGACTAATTTTTCAGACTAAATCTGGGGCCAGTCCTTGCCGACCTGATAGGCCTGCCCAGGCCCAAGTCCTAGAAAGGAAGAGACGGGCTATTTTTAGTGGGGAGACATAAACGGGGCTTTGTTTTCTCTCCATGGAGGCTGAAGTAACCGCAGAGGGAGGCTGTGTTGAGACCTCGCTCCATGCCTGCTCTCTCCTCTGCTCGGAGGCGCAGACGATGAGGCCAGGATGAAAACCTGCTCGTGCTCAGGATTCCCCATGAGGGTTATTTTTAGCCCAGGACAGTTTGGCCTGTAGCAGAAAACCACAAAGGAATGCCTGTGAGCAGTTTCTCATGCTGAAATAATGAGTTTGTGGTGTTCCCGCAGACTGTAAAACTCCTTTTTCTCCACCTTGGACTGAAACCTCAGGCCTAGCCTGTGGCGAAAGTGTGATGTAGTTAAAATGCATCTCTGTCCCCAGAACCTTTTTGACACCTGGGCCCTCCTTCTCCAGAAGCTCACCCCTGCCTGTCTGGTTTGGTCTGACCTTCAGAAAACTACATCAGGATCCCCCCCCCCTTTTTTTTTTTAATATTTCCGCCATCAAAATGAACCTGTATGTAAGGCCTGGATAAGCGAATAAGCTCTCCAGGCTAGAAGCGTTTTAATCCCTTACGTTTGTACAGTAATTCCTAGTTTATCACAAGATGTTCCATCCCGTATTCCATTTGATGTTCCTGACAACTCCATGAATGTGGGTTAGGCGGATAACGTTTTCCAGGCTTTTTAGAGGAGCAAACCGAGGCTCTGTGTGTTTGAGAGACGACCCCAGGATCATCCTACTAATGGGTAGTAGGGCTGGGAGTTTTTCATCCTTCTGTCCTTTTCTTCATTGTGTTCATTAGCTCAACACATGCTTGTTAAAGACAGTGGTTCTTGACCAGCATGATTTTGCTCCCTCTCCCTCAACAGACATTAGGTAATACTTGGAGATATTTTCAGTTGTCACCATTCAGGGTGAGGGTACCAACAGCATCCTGTGGGGCGAGGCCAGGGAGGCCGCTAAACATCATACAATGCACGGGACAGCCTGTCCTCCCTCCAAAAAAGAGTGAGACAAACATGTTCAACTCTGCCTCCTGTTCCCAAGCCTCCCAGAGTCAAGTCAAAGATGCTACCACATAAACTATGATACATAAACTGTCACACAATGTAACGACTGCAGAGTCACAGCTATGTGTGATGTATATGGGAAGCTCCTACCCAGCCTGGAGGACCCAGGGAAGTAATCAGGAAAGGTTTCCCGTAAGAGCTGATGTTTAGAGGACACTAACTTCACGAGCAATGTTGCTTCTGCACCCCCACACATTGGCTATATAACAGGAACCTTCTCTGCCTTTTTTTTTTTTTTCCTTTTCTTTCTTTCTTTTTTTTGAGACAGAGTCTTGCTCTGTCTCTCAGGCTGGAGTGCAGTGGCGTGATCTCGGCTCACTGCAACCTCTGCCTCCCACGTTCAGGCAATTCTCATGCCTCAGCCTCTCAAGCAGCTGGAATTACAGGCATGTGCCACCATGCCCAGCTAATTTTTGTACTTTTAGGAGAGACGGGGTTTCACCATGTTCCTCAGGTTAGTCTTGAACTCCTGACCTCAAGTGATCCACCTGCCTTGGCCTCCCAAAGTGTTGGGATTATAGGTGTGAGCCACCATGCCCAGCCCGGGACCTTCTGTGCCTTATCCCACAAGTGGGACCTACGGAGGCAGGATTAGCAGGACAGAGGGAGGGGCCTTCTTAAGGAACTGAAGTCCTGTGGTCTATGCTTTTCCCCTGGGGAGACCCTGTCCCTAACCCTATCTAAGGCTGACCTTTCCCATTAACTGTCTCCTAGAATCGATAAGAAAATGTCTGATGCTCAGGGCAGCTACAAACTGGATGAAGCTCAGGCTGTCTTGAGAGAAACAAAAGCCATCAAAAAGGCTATTACCTGTGGGGAAAAGGAAAAGCAAGATCTCATTAAGGTATGCAAGTTCCTGTTGATGTGGGTGCCATCTTGATTTCTCCTGAGTATTCCTGTATGCCAGTCTTACGCGGACTATTTCTACATGGTACACACATTGCTGAATTCTCATTACCAGTCTTCCTGGGGTTTTGGTTCCATTTCATAGAGGAGGACGTGGAGGCTCAGAAGCATTAAGTGACTTGCATAAGGTCACACAGCTAGTGTAAATGGCAGAGTTGGAATGGAATTCATCTGGCCTAGTCCAAAGGCCACATCCTTGCCACTAGCTTTAATTACCTGACTTATTTTTTCTTTGTTTTTTGAACTTTTATTTTTTAATAGAGGGAGTCTTGCTATGTGGCTCAGGCTGCTCTTGGTAACTGCTGGGCTCAAGTGATTCTCCCACCTTAGCCTCCCAAAGTGCTGGGATTACAGGCGTGACCCAGTGCACCTGGCCTCTGACTTATTTTTCAAAGAATCCAATGGAGAGAGGTGGTTTCAACATCATTAACCTTTGACATCAAAATGTAGCATCTCTATAAGCATTTCATTGTGTGTTCTGCCTCTATGCTGGGAACTGAACAAATTATAATAGATATTATGTAATGTGCCAGGTGATTATGCCAAGCCTTTTGCATGCATCATGTCTCATCTCTTAAATCAACCCTAGTTTATCCCCATCCTACAGAAAAAAGACTGTACAGCTCAGAGAGGAAGCTAGAGCCGTGATTCCAACCTGTGAACCCCTGACTCTCAGACCCATCCTCTTACCGCCTGTACATATCACCTCCGCTTCCAGGAACCACCCTGACCTCAGATATTTCACTGGCAGATTAGGAGTCCTCAGAGATGCTGTAGATGACTTAGTGGAGGAAGCTGTATGCTCTATGACAAACAGAACAGTTTCGAAGCTCCCACCCAGGACAGCAGCCCAGTGAAAACATTTAGATGAGGACCTCATGGACAGGGAGGCATGTTCCTGTTCTGATTAGTAGTTGAGATCGCGGAGCCTTAAGCCAGATAGACCAGGTCCAAATCTTGCCTCGGTCAATTGTCAGCTTCTCATCAATAAACTGGGGATAATCATAGGTCATTGTTTGCATGAGTATTGTCAGGATTCAGTGAGACTCTGGTAAAGCTGACAGTTGTTGAGTATGGGCTGTATTCACTTGTCATCTCGTTTAATCTCATTTAATCAAGATGATTGCCCTGTGAGATAGGACCTGTGATTCTTCCCCCTCCCCTTTTTTATTTTAAGAACCAGGGTCTCGCTCTATTGCCCAGGCTGGAGTGCGGTGACACAGTCATAGCTCACTGCAGCGTCGAACTCCTGGGCTCAAGCAATCCTCCCACCTCAGCCTCCCGAGTAGTTGGAACTACAGACATGCACCGCCACATCCAGCAAATTTTTTTTTTTTCAGAGATGGGGGTCCCGCTATGTTGCCCAGGCTGATCTTGAATTCCTGGCCTCAAGTGATCCTCCCACCTTGGCCTCTGAAAGCACTGGGATTACAGGCATGAGCACCCAGCCAATTATTCTCATTTTACAGGAGAGGAAATTAAGGCAAAGAGAGGTTATTCAGCTAGGTGAAGTCACACAGCTGGGAAGCAGCAGAGCAGGGGTTCCAACTAGGGCAGTGTGGCTCCAGAGTCGGCATCCACACTGGTTTCTCCTATGTCATAGGCCCAGCACAGAGCCTGGCACACAGCAAGGACCCACTCGGTGCTAACTCTCTATCACAGGATCAGTAGGATGTCTGGGGAGGGCATGGGTTCCTAAATTAAGGGAGGGTAGAGAGGGAAGCACGGGACGCGTGGCAGACCCAGAGCTCCCTCCTGGGAAGGCGCATCACTGACCCTGCTCTCCCTTCCTTCAGAGCCTTGCCATGTTGAAGGACGGCTTCCGCACCGACAGGGGGTCTCACTCAGACCTGTGGTCCAGCAGCAGCTCTCTGGAGAGTTCGAGTTTCCCGCTGCCGAAACAGTACCTGGACGTGAGCTCCCAGACAGACATCTCGGGAAGCGTGAGTAGACAGGGCAGGATGCTGGGGGCCTTCCACAGGATGGCAGCTGGGAGGCTGCTGTAGTGGGCAGCTGCCTTCTCATGGCTCACCAGGGAGCTGGCCAGGGGCTCTCTGCGGCGCTGGCTGCTGCCTCAGCCCTCTGGAGCTCTGTTCTCTTACAGACCTCCTGGCCCCAGGAAGATATGATGTGATGCCACGGAGGAAAAGCCTGCAGTGACGAACACCATGGCCCTTAATATTGCCTGGCCAGGTGCTAGCGTCTCTTAATGCTGCACAGAAAGCATGTTTAAAGGACAAAATGTCTTTCTCTGTGTTTTGTTTTGGTTTGGTTTTTTTCATACTCTTTTGCAGTTCCGTTTCCATTTTTCTTTCCCCAGCTGGACAGCAGAGGATATTTTCCTCCTGTTAGTCTCAAAACAATGCATGCAGCTTTCAGGCAGCTGCTTGACTCCCAGTTCCTAAGCTTTCCAGTCCTAGTTATGAAGAGTGAAAGCGCTGTCCAGATGTGGCTCAGGAAAAGGTTAGAGTAGGGCTGACCCACGGTGCCTCGTAACTTTTGGAGAGCTTTTGTTTTACTAGAGCCAGCAACATTGAACGAATCCGCCTTCCAGCCTCTGTGGCAAACAGCCTCTAAATGCTGTTCCTGAGTTCCATAGCTGTCTTCCCACTTGTCCAAGGGTGACCGGTGAGCCTTGTAGCCTCTTGCTGCTCTTAATAGACTAGCACAGCAAAAGAGGCTGTCCCTTCCTTCCCCACACCACCATGTGTCCAGCTACTAGCCATCTGCAGGCCAAAGTATTTGTAAAGGAACTGTACCCCTCTTTGTGAGTGCTGGGGTCTTCTCCCCACCCACCCAGTGTTTCACTCCTGACTGCAGCCTCTCTGAGTTTTCTATGGATCCCCTCCCCAGTGCCCCCAGAATGGCTTTCTTGATATTGGCTATCCCTGTTTCCTCCTCACCAACTGTCCTCCACGCTTCTGTGGCTTGAATTGGCACCAAGCCAAGCCATTGGGGGCTGCAAGATGATATTCTGGGCCTTTGGCTTCTGTTTTCAAAGTGATCGATGTCTGAGTGTATGGCTCTTCCCGTGGCCTGAAGGGAGGAAAGTGTGTTTGCTTCACCAGCTTCCCTGCGATCTGCACCGCCAGCCCCATCAGCGGGGGCTATTCTTGGCTACTGCCCACTCAAGCTGCCAAGTCTCTCATGAGCCCTTGAAACCCAACTCAGCACCGGCCACAACAGCCACATAATTCCTGACTTCGTTCTTCTCCTCCAGTTCAGCATCAACAGCAACAATCAGTTGGCAGAGAAGGTCAGATTGCGCCTTCGATATGAAGAGGCCAAAAGAAGGTAATTGGGCTGGGGCTAGGGGCAGGATGGTTCAAAAATAATAACTACTGTTGTAGAATGCCTGCTCTGTGCTTGGCTTTTCATACACTTCGTCGTCTTTAATCCTCACAAAGATTATGAAGATAGTTATTATCGTCTTTATATTTTCATCCTCTCTGAAATTCAGAGAGGAAATGACTCACCCAGGACACTTCACAAGATAGAGAGTGAAACTATGCTTTGAACCCAGATCTGTTTAATCTCAAAGCCGAGTTATCTTCCCACTTGCCTGTCTTGATTTCTGTAACCGAGGCTTTCCCATGATCCTGTAAGCATTTTGGTTTGAAGGAGCACAACTGGAGTTTCAGCAACAGGCTAAAAAGATTGTGGACACTACCCGCTTCAGTGTCTCCTGCACAGCTGGGAGCAAGCTGGGCTTTTAAGCAGTATAGACCTCTGGGTTTAGATGTTCTGTGGCTTCACAGAATCCTAAGCAGTCGGGTTCCACTACCACAAATAAAATCAAAATAATAATCAAAGCTGACATTTTTAAAGCATCTGTTACAGGCCTAAACAAATTTTTTTTTTTTAATTACTTTGTTTTCTTTTTTAGAGACAGGGTCTCACTATGTTACTCAGGCTGGTCTTGAACTCCTGGCCTTAATCGATCCTCCCATCTCAGCCTCCTGAGTGGCTGGGATTACAGGCATGCACCACTACACTTGGCTGAGATTGTTTATTGTACTAAAACATTTGTGCATGCATCTTCTCATTTAATTTTAAAAGCAACCTTATAGCAGAGGGTCTCTCTTATTATCTCCATGTTAGACAGGAAAAAGGTAAGACCAAGATATTTCATGACTGTTCCAGATGGTAGAGGCAGAATTTGAACCCTGGACAATCGGGCTTCAAGTTCATGATCTTCCTGTACTCCGGGAGCCAGCATTACTGGCAAAGAATGCCCTGGGCATTGTGGTGTGGATGGAAGCCAGGCACTTTGCATCCATTCCTTCCTAGACTAAATTGTCTGGCCTGTGTACCTTCTCAGCCAGGCCAGGTGAAGTATGGCAGTGCCCAACTCTGCCTCTCTGCCAACTCTGTGTGAATAGTAGAACTCTTTGCGGAAACAACAGAAATCTGATAGAAACCAGAGAAAGCAAAAAAGGGAATGTATTGTCTTATTTAACTCCAAAGTCCTAAGATAGCTACCTTCAGGCACAGCTGGATCCAGGGACTCAGATGATGTTACACAGACTCAGTCTCTCTCCCTTTCTTCACCCTGCTTGCCTTTATGTTGGCTTTACTCTATAGCAGACTTTCCTGTCAAAGTGACAAGGCAACTCCCAGCAATTCGGAGCTTACACACTACCAGGTTAGCAATCCCTGCAGAAAGGGGGCCTACCTTTCCCAATAGTTTTAACCAGCCTTGGGTTTGAGACTCCCTGCCTTTTTTGGGTGAACCAAGCGTTGTTACAGGGCAGCTAGGGGTGGGCAAAATTAGAATTCTCTAAAGATCTAGGCATGCGTCATGTTTCCAGTGCTGTGAAGGGTCGGCTGTATGGGAACCAGGTGACTTGAAAGTACGAAAGGAGTGGTTTCCCAAAGACAAATTGGAATATTATTAACAAAAGAAGAACGAATTGAATACTGGTCAGGTAGAAAGAAACAGATGTCCTATGTACTATTTCAGCTACCCCAGGGGTCCAGCAAAACAGCAAGACCTCTGTATTTGGACAGCCACTTCTTGTCCTCTCTGAAGGGGACCGCTCTGAACCTTGGATCTGTTCCATCCTGCAGGAATGCCTATCTTAGATGGTCAGTCCTAGAGACACTAAAGGACTGCAGTGTTCCCTCTGGAGTTGAGCCGTTAGACTTCTCATCACAGAGCTTCCTAGCTCATCTGACTTTATCCAGCCTCTTGCTTCCCCCTTCCGCCGAAGCTCATTTTAGTGTAAAGGACAGAGCAGCCTGCTCAATGGGAAAGCAAGCTGCAGGACTTGAAAGAGGGGAAGGGAGGTGTCAGTAATGCAAGGAGGGTCTGATCATTGGATGTCAAGTTTTGTCACACATGCGTTTCTGAGAAGAGAGACTAGTTGTTTTTTATCAGATTCTTAAAGGGATGTGGCCCGAAATTTAAGGAGCATTGGCATAGGGAAAGAGAAAGTACATCCAATAAAGCATCAGTCACTTCCCAATGTCCTGCGTATGGGGGAGCCTCTGCCAGGCCTTACCATACCATTTCATTCTCAAAGTACTGGAGAACAGCAGCTACAAAATTGTCTCAAAGCCAATCTTGATAGATTACTGTATACATGAATATAAATTTAAATAACTAACTATAGTCAGTCCTCCTTACTCACGGGGATTCAACCAAGGATCAAAAATATCCAGGAAAAAAAAAATTTAAAATAATGCAAATTTTTAAATATAGTGTAACAACTATTTATATAGCATTTACATTGTGTTAGGAATTATAAGTAATCTAGAGATGATTTAAAGTATACAGGAGGATGTACATAGGTTATATGCAAACACTGTGCCATTTTATATAAAGCACTTGAGCATCCATGGATTTTGGTATCTGGGCTAGGTCCTGGAACCAATCCCCTGCAGATATCAGGGGTCACGTGTATAGGAATTCCTCCTGGGATACTTGGCTGGGGAACAAGCAAATCTAGCTAGGTTTCTCTACGTGGAATTTTTGCTACACATCATGGTGAATTTTGTCCCCAGCAGTGTTCTGATAAAGTAAGAAATGGGCCACATTGTCTGCAGGTAAGATGAACTGGGAGTTCAGAGTCCTCTGGTCTCAACAAGTATTGGCCACGTTTATGATTTGCAGTCTTAGGTGCATCATATCCTCCCTGGGCATCTGTCCAACCAGGTGAACAAACTCCTATCTTACCCTTTAGGGGTGGGGTGGCCAGGGCATGAGAGCTGATGGTACTTTGCAGAGGCCAAGTCCTAAAGGATGATGTCATGATTGTTGTTAGCTATTTGTAGCATTATTCGTTGTTATACTGTGAATCTTATTTTGACTCAATGATAACAATACCGAAGGTCTATATAACACCTGGCAATGTATAAAGGGCTCTTAATGCTGTGTTCTCACATAACCCACCCTATAGGTAGCATATCATCTCTGCCTTAGAGATGAGGATACTGAGTCTTAGAGCAGTTAAGGGATAAGGCTGTCAGCTCTTTCCTTTAACTCTTATTTAGTGCCTGTAGTATACCAGTCACTGTGCTAGAAGCTTGTGATACCAAAATGATTTCTTGAGAAACGGTCCCTTCCATCAGGAAGGCCAGAGCGAGCCAGGACTACAACTCCAGGCCTTTGAGCCCAGATCCACGGTTGTTCACACAGTGCCACTAGCTCTCTCTGACTTGAGAATACGTGGTCAGTAGTTGTAGTCTTAGTGGTCCAGAACTGCCAGTGACTCAGTACTTGCCATGTGCCAGACACCCTTCCCAATCATTCTGATGAATGAGTTTTTCTCACCTTTATAGCCTAGGGAATTGGCCCAATGTTACATACCTAATAAGTGGTCACGCCAGGTCATAACAACAGTAGCGAGGACTTACTATGTGCCAAGTACAGTGCTTTGCAGGTTACAGATTATATCATAAAACCTTCAACCAAAATGGCATGAGGAAAGGGCTTTTGTTATTCCCTTCAGAGAGCTGAGCAACTTGCCCAAGGCCACACAGCCAGTGGTAAGAGGTTAGTGCCTGGTGATGAATTCACATCTCTATTGTACCAGGAACAGGGCAAGGGCATTGCCTTGTTCGTGTCTGCACCCCATCCCTGCAGAGCTTGTTGGCACATGGTAGGCACCCACATGTGTTTGTTTAGAAAAAAAAATAGGTTCCTTGAGACAACATGCTGATCAAAGGAAGACAGTAACTGTCAAAGATTGCTCTGAGATGTCTGTTTCTTCGTGGCATCTCCTGTTCCCGCAGTGCCATTAGGCACACCAGTCATGCTTGCTTTCTTGGCCCCCAGGATCGCCAACCTGAAGATCCAGCTGGCCAAGCTTGACAGTGAGGCCTGGCCTGGGGTGCTGGACTCAGAGAGGGACCGGTTGATCCTCATCAACGAGAAAGAGGAGCTGCTGAAGGAGATGCGCTTCATCAGCCCCCGCAAGTGGACCCAGGGGGAGGTGGAGCAGCTGGAGATGGCCCGGAAGCGGCTGGAAAAGGACCTGCAAGCAGCCCGGGACACCCAGAGCAAGGCGCTGACGGAGAGGTGGGGTTGGGGTCCCAGGGTGTGTAGGACCCTTCTCTCACTGGCAGTCTGTCCTCAGCCCCCAGATGGCGGAAGGATGAGGGGGCTCCAGGCCCCTGGGCTCCACCCTGAGCATGCTCAGTTCAGAGATCTCTCAGATTGCCGACATAGGAAATCAGGAAAGATGATTCGCCATCCAGTGCACCAGCTACCCTGGTACTTTGCATGGTGAATCATGCTACCAAAAAGTCTGCTTAGGTGCAGGTGTTCAAAAATGTATCTTCTGACTCAATTAAGCCACATAACTCTATATAATTTAAAGCAGTCATTTTCCAATTTTTTGACTGTGATGCACATTTTATACTGTGACCTGACACAAGGTTCACAAAATAGTGCATGCTCTTTCTACCTGTGATGGTCCTCTGATGTTTTCTGTCTTCTACCTGTGATGGTCCTCTGATGTTTTCTGTCTTCTACCTGTGATGGTCCTCTGATGTTTTCTCTCTTCTATTGCATTTTGTTTCGTGCAGTTCATGACTCACCAAATTGATTTCACCCCATGCTAAGTAAGGGGTTGCAGTTTGCAGTTTAAAAAACACTGGTCTGGGTGGGGATTGCAAACTGGCATGCTTATAGGAGCCAAGCAGGTCACAGACATGCTGGAGACCCACCTGGCAGTGGTCTGTGTCAGACCAGAGTGCACAGACCCCACTGGTCTAGAGCAGGTGCTGTCTGTCTCCTGCAGCAAATGGGAGTACAGGCCTCGGGCTGCCAGAGCTGCCTGTACTTCAAACAAAAGAGTCGTTTGGATTTTTTATTTTTAAATATTGGGAACTAATCCAGAAGTTTTTTTCAAAAAATGCAAATCAGCTTCATCTATGGGCCTGATACAACCTAAAAGCCACTGGTTTATATTCTCTAATTTAGACCTTATCATAGACATTGTCTTTGTTTATTTCCTTCAGTGTTCCCACCAACCTCCACACCCACACTGCACCGAATGCAACACTGTGTTCACCATAGGCTTTACGCTCTCCAGCTTCAAGTTCATTCATTCATTCTGTTCATCAGCCAATGTTTACTCATTCATTTGAGAAATGCTTTGCTGCACGGATTGTGTGTGCAAGGCAATTTGGGGGATTCAGAAATTAACAAGACATGGTCCCTGCCCCATGACCTTTAAATCTATTATACTTATTTTCACCATGTTTTTCGCAGGAGCCTGTATTCAGCAAGGTCCCTGCCCCTAAGGAGCTTAGAAGTGAAGCTGGTGATTTTCAAGTGTGTGTGTGTGGTGTGTGTTTGGAATATGAGCAAGGGAATTCCTTTTTCTAGTGAAATCAGAGGAAGAAGCCCGGCTTATGAAGCAAGTAAATGTGCCTAGTGCCTCAGTTGAAGCAGTCGGGAGTCCTAGAGAGGCGTGTCTGTGCTCACTCTGTCACCCCACCATGGGTCTTCCAGGGAGCCTTCGAGCTCCAAGGCGCCCAGCCTGCAGTACCATCCTAGCAATTGAGTGAGCGCCACTTGCACATGGCATGGTGCCAGGTGGATCAGGTTCACCAAGTTCTCGCCTAGCTTCCCATGGCTTCAGAGACTCTCTTGACTCGTTGATGGCGGGAATCTCTCCCCACTAGTTGCTTAGTCAGAACTGCTGGCAGTAATGTCCAAAGTGTATCCATTTCCTCTCTTCCGTTCTTCACTGGCAGCAGCAGCTGATTAGCCCTGACCCACCACCCGTTGGTGGGAGAAGGAGAAGGACAGAGCTTGAATAATTGGTGTTCTGCAGTCCTTGGAAGCACCTTGCTAGAAGTCTTCTTTAGCACCACGACTCCATTATGCTTTCTCTGGGATTTTGTGCTTTGGGGATAAGGCCTGTGTCTGTATGCTCACATGCCTTTAGTGTTCGTTGAAAGAATAAATGGTTAGCTGGCCTAGGCAGATCCTTACTAGACCTCTGTGTATATATCCGAGTCTTTATACCCATTCCCTGGGTCGCTCACTTGCTCCCAAACCCTATAACTGCCACTGGGAAGCCCTTAGCTATTCATAGTCCCCACAGCCAGCAGCTGAAGAGAACAGACTCATGACAGCTTCACTCCTTGTTGGGTCAAAAGGAACACGCTTCTCACTTGCTGATCTTGAGCAAGTCATTGACCAATTTGGGTTTCACTTGCCTAACAGGGAAAAAACAGGATACATTAAGTCCTCACTTAACATTTGTTAGTAGGTTCTTGGAAAACTGTGACTTTAAGCAAAACTACATACAATGAAACCAATTTTTTTCCATCAACTTTATGTTTTATTTCTATTTTTTTCGAGACGGAGTCTTGCCCTGTCACCTAGGCTGGAGTGCAGTGGCATGATCTCGGCTTACTGCAACTTCCGCCTTCTGACTTCAAGCAATTCTCCTTGCCTCAGCCTCCCGAGTAGCTGGGATTACAAATGCGCGCCACCACACCCAGCTAATTTTTGTATTTTAGTAGAAATGGGGTTTCACCATGTTGGACAGGCTGATCTCAAACTCCTGACCTCAGGTGATCCACCTGCCTCAGCCTCCCAAAGTGCTGAGATTACAGGCGTGACCCACTGCAGCCAGCTCCATCAGCTTTATTAAAAAATGACATTATTTGAGAACTTGATGTGCATCATTTTGCTTAAAGTTGCAGTTAGCAAGAACCTATCTACAATGTTGAGGATTTACTGTAATTACATTAAATACATATATGGTCTGAAGGCAGACAGTTAGACCAGGCTCTTCCCTTCTGTAAAATTGTTGGTTTCTTGAAACTCGAATTGGAGGCTCTTAGGAACCCCTAAGATATACCACATGTAGAAGCTCCCATCCTGTGCCAAGCGGTAGCCTATAAAATCTC